TCTTCCATGAAATTTATGGACAAGACAACAATAATAACAACAGCGCTTTCGAGTAGTAATCCGATAAGAATCCGATAAGAGCGGATATCCTTCCAAGATCCCAACGAGTTATTAACAGCTATGTTTTGATCAACAATAAGAAATATAGGTCAAGTAACAGATGCTAGTATTTTAGTTCCCAGAAAATATGGTACTCCGTAAGCGTATCTCCTTTAGTATTTAATGTCTTGGAATTCAAATTACTCATTCCAGTACCATTCCATCTTTACTCATCCTTACTAGTTATTACTCTCTGGCAACCACTCTTCCATGAAATTTATGGACAAGACAACAATAATAACAACAGCGCTTTCGAGTAGTAATCCGATAAGAGCGGATATCCTTCCAAGATCCCAGCGAGTTATTAACAGCTATGTTTTTGATCAACATATAGAAATATAAGTCAAGTAACAGATGCTAGTATTTTAGTTCCCAGAAAATATGGTACTCCGTAAACGTATCTCCTTTAGTATTTAATGTCTTGGAATTCAAATTACTCATTCCAGTACTATTCCATCTTTACTCATCCTTACTAGTTATTACTCTCTGGCAACCACTCTTCCATGAAATTTATGGACAAGACAACAATAATAACAACAGCGCTTTCGAGTAGTAATCCGATAAGAATCCGATAAGAGCGGATATCCTTCCAAGATCCCAACGAGTTATTAACAGCTATGTTTTGATCAACAATAAGAAATATAGGTCAAGTAACAGATGCTAGTATTTTAGTTCCCAGAAAATATGGTACTCCGTAAGCGTATCTCCTTTAGTATTTAATGTCTTGGAATTCAAATTACTCATTCCAGTACCATTTCATCTTTACTCATCCTTACTAGTTATTACTCTCTGGCAACCACTCTTCCATGAAATTTATGGACAAGACAGCAATAATAATAACAGCGCTTTCGAGTAGTATCCGATAAGAGCGGATATCCTTCCAAGATCCCAACGAGTTATTAACAGCTATGTTTTGATCAACAATAAGAAATATAGGTCAAGTAACAGATGCTAGTATTTTAGTTCCCAGAAAATATGGTACTCCGTAAAACGTATCTCCTTTAGTATTTAATGTCTTGGAATTCAAATTACTCATTCCAGTACCATTCCATCTTTACTCATCCTTACTAGTTATTATTAATCGTTATGAAGATGTCATTCCTAACTAAACGTTAAGAGGGTAATATGTTTGTAATATATTTCTATTCTTGAATACTTTAATGGTATTTAGCATTTTCTTTCTTTCAGTTTAGGACATTTTGAGGAAGGATAAAAGGTATTTTTGTATGACATTTCTGATATTTATTTAATAATCGTACATTTAACGTGATAGTCATAAACATGTATTCCTGTTCTTGTTAGAATAGAGTCATGGGTTTGTATTTTACATTTTGTTTAGTTTTGTATTTTACATAGCTTAAAAGCTATAAACTAAAATTTGTTAATGATTTTAATTGTTTTTTATCGCTTATGTAAGTAAAAACCTACTTGTTACTGCTCTCTTATATAAACTTGTAAGGTTTATCTTAATTTATCTAACAGTTAATTTTTAGTTAAAAGTTACTTTCCTGTCTTTCCTTAATTTAAGCTTACAATTTTCGGCCAGAACGTGATTTATCGTGATAATCTTAAACATGCATTCCTGTTCTTGTTAGAATAGAGTCATAGGTTTGTATTTTACATAGCTTAAAAGCTATTGTATTTTACGTACAATAGCTTTGTATTTTACATAGCTTAAAAGCTATAAACCAAAATTTTGTCAATGATTTTAATTGTTTTTTTTTAATTTCTTATGTTAGTAAAAACCTAATTGTTACTGCTCTCTTATATAAACTTGTAAGGTTTATCTTAATTTATCTAACAGTTAATTTTTAGTTAAAAGTTACTTTCCTGTCTTTCCTTAATTTAAGCTTACAACTTCCGGCCAGAACGTATTTTCAGAATCGGGGTTGAATGCAAATGAGGAGAAGAAGTCTACTGACTTCGTTAGAGAGCCAGATATTCTGATCAGTGCGCGTTAGCCTTTTGGCGATACTTTCTCACAAGCTATTATTACGCTCGTCGTACTGCCGTACTTTAGACCCTTGATAGCTTAGTCGTTAGTTAGCGTTAAGTCATAAAGCCTGGACTATAGAGCAGTGGAAGCGAGTAATATGGTCTGACGAGTCTTTTTTCACATTGTTTCCCACTTCTGGCCGAGTTTACATCTGGAGAACGCCATCTCAAGCCTATAATACAGACTGCTTGTTGCCAAGAGTGAAACATGGCGGGGGTTCTGTTGGTTTGGGCAGCCATATCGGGGTCTCTGCTAGCCCATGATACCTGGTCGGGCACATGACTGCCAAGACTTATGTGAACATTTTGGCCGATCAAGTTCATCCCATGGTACAAACTTTGGTCCCCGATGGTGATGGTGTCTTCCAAGACAAAAGCCCCTGTTCACACAGCTCATTGTCTAGACTGGTTTTCTGAGCCCGAGGAGATTGTCCCATCTCCCCTGCCACCACAGTCACCAGACCTGAATATATCGAACCTTTTGGTCACAGGGGAACGGAAAGTGCGTCTTGTTTCCACCGCAACATCGTTATCTGAACTTGCCACCGTTTGCAGGAAGAATGGTATAATATTCCCTTGGCAAACATACAGACTGTATATATCCATTCGAGAAGACGCAAGCTGTTTTGGATGCCAACGGGTTTCCTACACCATATTAAGCAAAGAAACATGTTTTTTTTAAAGGTGTTTCCATACTTTTGTCCAACCCCTGTACTTTGTTGCCTTGAATATAATTTAGAAGAGCTGAAGATACTTTTTTATGATACATATTTTCCATCAGCGAGAGGACATTGAATCGAAGATCAATGATAGAGCCAAGTTTAATTGCTAAATATGAAGAATCGACTAAACATTTTGTATAAACTATAGACATCTTTAGATAAACGATACTGTAAGATGAAGAAAAAAATGGCAAGAGATCTCATCATTCTGATTTTACTAAAATGAATTTGAATACAGCAAAGTACAGGAGGGCTGTCTGCCAACGAGTAAGGATGCCTCTGTGAAGGGATTTCTAAGGGAAATTTGCTCCTATTCATTTTACACACGGGGCAAACAACGAAAAACTAACATGTTGCCATTGCCTGGGATCGAAGTTGGTTAATCTCCCAGCATACAGCGATGTTAAGCAGTCTGCCATTCTTGGGTCCCACTATAGGAATTTTATCGAATCATTTAGCATGGAATCAAATTATTTATTATTCTGCACTGAGCAGATATCATCTTTCCTACACAGAATGATGTAGTTACCGTGAAAGACCGAAATTGGAGAATGTCGACTTTCAACGGAGAATGTCATCATTCACCAAATACGTCGGTGAAAGATCGAATATTGCATTACATTCTTTTACAGTCGGACCCTCACCGGTGTATGTCGCATCACAGATATGCTCTGGTGTAGGTCGAAAAGAGAGGTCATAAAGTGTTAATAGTTTAGTTGTTGCATAAATAAGATTTAAATCACATAATTAGTAAGTTTTTTGTTATTATATTTTATTTCTCATTTAGAACTTACTGTAGAATTAAGTAAGTTTTAACTTCTATTATTTCCTTTCTCATTTTGAAGTATTGTGTGTTTAAGTTCTTATTCTAAGTTCTATTTTAAGTGTCAAGTGCGTTTTTCGCATGAATTACGGAGAAGAAAATATAATATTTATATGTATGTCACCATTAGTATAGTACGTGAATGCGACATTGACCGGGTAAGCAGAAATAAAGTATTGGAAAATTTCGGACGACACCAAGCGACTATGTGAATGTTGACATACACCGGTGAAAGTCGACATTCTCCAGATTTCGGTGTTTCACCGTAACTTATATACACACATACATACCAGATATGCCCAAACTGATATTCTTTGGTCTCCTAAATGGGTTCGTATCCTAAGAAAAGCTATTTTATTTTTAAAATTTCATTCGGTTTGAATAGAAATCACACTATACCAGTCAGCAGTTTCAGGTTTTAATTACATATGCAATAGTTTCGAAGGAATTTCAAATGTGCGCATTTTCATTGAGTTACTTTCGTGGTGGGGCTTTTTTTAAGGTAGTTAAGGGCTCTCGACACAACAGAAAAGACAATTACTTTGGAAACATGCAAGGTTGATGAGGTGCGTCAAATATTACTAAATGGGACTAGGCCATCTATTAAGCTGTATTTTCACTGTAAGAAAATAATTCTCTTAATCCAGTTTGCACCTCATTAGTTTAACTTAATTAGTTTTCACCATCATATACCGGTTCCTATGTTAGTTATGTAGGGAAATTAAACTATTATTTTTATGCAAAATCGTTATTAAAATGCTAGCTTTTTTTGGAATAGTTTTCCTGTATCTATTTTGAAATTTCTTAAGAGAAGGCTCATCTCCTTTTTACTTGTTTTAGAATTAAAAGCAAAGAAAAGCCTCAGCTCATTTACTTAAATCACTTCATTATGCTTCACTGGAGTGGAAAGATACTCATTACTCATTTTTGTCCTCAATTATGTTTTATTAAAATTAGTTGACAATTATAATTAGAAACAAATGGCTATCGAGAAGAAAGTATTTAGTTTTATGCATTAAAAAAGTAATGCTCGGTATATTAGGCAAAAAATTGTGCTTATACTGTTGTGGATACATTTGCGGGAATAAAATTTTCTGAATACAGCGCAAATGTTAATCATTCATATAAACCGCATCAGAAGTAGAACAACTGTAAAAAAAATTATTTTACGAACTTTAAGGAATTGGTTTTATCACTGAAGGGACTTTTGAATTGTTTCTAATAAGAATGAAACTAGCAGTAAATGGATAAATCCTTTTAAATATTTCGTAATGTGATATTCAAACATTAAAAGGAGCAGTTAAGATGCTTATTTTAAGAAAAATGTTTATTTAGCCATATTAACACATTTATCTAAAGCAATAAGGCTTTTGTACGAAGGAATAGAAGGAATTCCATAACAACAACAAATCCATAAAAATTATCCCGAAGTATAATAAAAATTTTAGGACAAGAATAGGCTAAAATTCACATTTGACAAACATAACTGCAGAATGATAGCACTATGTGTAATCATCTTGATGAATACAATAATACAGGCAACTGACTCAGAAGAGCATTAAAAAAATGGCAATTGAACGTCTTCTTCAAAGATGCGCAGTTTCTTTCCATTTACTAATTTTTGCTGGAATGATGACGTCAAAAATGCACTGTTCTTGAGTTAATATTTACCTAAAAGAAAACATTATTTGTCTGAGATGCATAATTATATAATATTCATCTTTAACAATATTATAAAAGTACTAGTGTAGTTATGCACATCATTATAAATAGTTCACAGAGGCATTTGTTAAGGGAATCTACAATAAAATGTTTTACATGAAATAGAAGAATTATCGTTAACATAGGATAATTTAAATCCCATGACAAAAATCTGAAAATCATATTCCTGATAAAGTAGTTCTTATTTGTACGAAATACAAATATTCTCTAGTTCATTCATATGAAAGCGGTACTGCAATTTATTTTAAAAAATAAAGACAAAGTAAGTAAGAAAGGAGGAGCAAATATTTATTTGTCCTTCATTACAGCAATCTTTAGCTAATCATGTTCATGTACATAGGCACATTTTATATATGTATAAGGCACACCTTCCAGACTGGTTGCCTTATACATATATAAATAAATTACAATGCTTTCTTTTGTAAGTTTTATTTTATTCAAAAGGACGTAAAAGAAACGTATAGAGAAAAATTAGGATAAATTAAGAAACATAAATACTGCAAAAATATTTTATTATCTTTTAAAATATCTTTCCTTCAAGATTATATGTTGATGTTCTAATATTTAAAGTACGCTTTAAAGGTTACGAAGATAAAATTTTTGTCTGATTTACTTTGATTATAATTTTGTCTGATTTACTTTGATTATAATTTTGTAGTCTGATTTACTTTGATTATAATTTTGTAGTCTGATTTACTTTGATTATAGCAAAGCACACGAGGACTGCCACCCAAGCGGGGTAGTGACTAAATTTTATTACGTAATGACTAAATTTTATTACTGTCACTAGATGCAACTGATAACTTATTGCTTACCTGAGGGCTGTACGTAACGTTTTTTCCATATACGACGAAAATCTTTCAGTTTATATATAGCCGTGACTCACACTTTACCTTCAAGTTTCTCCTTTAGTTTATGAAAAGGGAAAATCGGAATCACTTTCTGCAAAAAAAGGTTTCATTTTTTATAAAGCAGGGTTTAGGTATTTTACACATAGATTAAACAATGAATGACTACTAGTTTCAATTTGTTTAAAATCTGCAGTAATATATAAATGGCAAGCAAGTGATATTGTTTAAAAACGAAAGTAATTTATTGAACCCACAGTATAGAACGTAATACGCAGTAACAGACACAGCTGTAAAGAAAATTTAAAAAATAAAATTGATGTTAAAGATTTTCTTAAGCAAATTAATTCAAATAAATGATTTGGCTCAAGAAGTGAGTTTTCTGAGTGAATAAAATAAAAGATTTGGCTAAAAGTTAGTTGAAGAAAATTGGCTTCAGAAGTGTAATCTTAGTTTCTAGTATAAAATGATAGCTAAACTGTTTATTTAGGTTTCCAAGGGCCATAAATGTTATCAAAAGTATCCTTTCAAATTTGCCTAAAGACAGCTGTTTATTATAATTCTGGCTAAACATTCCTCTTTTGGGTCAGAAAATTCTTCCATTACAATTTAAAACAGGTGATTTATTTTCTGGAGGACGTATGTAGAAACACCCTAAGTCAAAGAATAACTAAAATGCTTGATATACGCTTCGTAAGGTGATTACAAAGTGTTATTAAATTTCGATTTTACTGTTAAACATCAGTTGATTTTGTCATCTGTTGGTTATCATATAAAGAATTTTACCAAAGGCAACAACAGTTACAAAAAAATACCGTAATGAATTTGAGTAGCAATTAACCACGGCAGTAAAAGCGAACGAAAGGGTCTTTTCATCGAAAATATGATGGATTCTGTGTCTAATCTGTTATTGTACAACTAACTGAAAAAAGATTTTTAAGTACTTAACTGAAACCAGAGCAATTTTCCATTCCTTTGGCTTCTAATTTATTCGATAGATAGGACTATGACTACTGATTTCATTGCTCATTTTTATTTACCTTATTTTATATAAAATATATATTCTCGATATTACATATTACATTATCTTGTAAAGTTTAACTCTTTGAGGTTTACATCTACCAGTTTTTAACTTTTTGAGGGTTACATCTACAGTTTTTAACTCTTTGAAGGTTGCATGTACAGTTTTTAACTCTTTGAGTGTTACACGTACAGTTTTTAACTCTTTGAATGTTACATGTACAGTTTTTAACTCTTTGAGTGTTACATGTACAGTTTTTAACTCCTTGAGGGTTACATCGACAGTTATACTTTATTTTAGAACTTAAGTGATTTATCGTTAAGTCCTAAGTACAACAAAAATTTGGTAAGGTGTAAAAGACCCTTTAATTAAAACTAAATAAGATGTACATAAGGCACTCCTAGTGCTTATAATTTCGCCAGAATTTATTGCGAGAAACTCCAAAAGCAGTAAGTAAAATGAAAAGCTTAAATTTCAATAGAATAATAATCAAAGGTTACACAGAGTAATTTAACGCGAAGCTGGCTCAAAACTTCACCGTGTTGGATTCAACTATCGGCAATTTTAATGCAGAGTCGAAGGCAGGAACTATTACCTAAAATAGCAAACCTAGTAACGTGGCCACTAGTGGCAGAACACGCTGCGTCTTAACAATCTCAAATCTCACTATAAATACACTCGAAATTATTTGCATTCTCGTGGGAAAACGGAAAGACAAAATGACAGTACAGATTCAAAACATAAAATAATTGGTTATTCAAATCAAAAGAACCGCACAACCTATTTTTACATACAATACATATTCCCATATGAATTATATATTCCCAGCATATGCCATGAACATTTGTGCCACTGAAGCGGAAGAATTGCCTGCCTTTGTCTCTGACATACATCTTTTATGTTACGGTGTGGTGGTGTATTTAATTATGGCAAAGCACACACTAGGGCTATCTGCCTAAGGGAAGGGATGCCTTCGTGGAGGAATTTCTAAGGGAAACTGGCTCGTATACACATTACACATGGGGAAAACCACGAAAACGCCCATGCAGCCAGCCCGTTCGCGGGATTCGAACCTCGGGGCCGAGCTACCAGTGTTCAGCGACTTTACCGCTCGGCCGCTTGTGGGCCCTTTTATGTTACGTATCAGCCTGAAGCAGACAGATGATTAATTTGAAACTTGGAATCCGTTTTACCACAGATTAATAATTTTTATTCTAATGCTCTCAGTAACTAATAATATTTATTCTACTCCTCTCAATAATTAATAATTTTTATTCTAATGCTAAAAACAATATATAATCCTCAAAACTCAGTATTAGAATATATTTCATTTCTTTTCACTAAATTTCCTATCCTACTACTATATTACTATCTTTTTTTGAAAGTTTAGATAATTTCATGCATCGCTTGTACAGAATAATGTGATCTCGACGAAATGAAGAATCACTTAGTATTTCAAAAGTGTATACCTTTTGATTTGAAATGAAGTAAAATGTAATGCAGAAATTTTGTTCTTCGTAAAACTGTACTTGTGTTACATATTTTATTACTCTTGACTGCGAATAAAGGGAATACGTAATATAATACATTAGTAATAACAGGAATGGTATATAAAAATATACATACTTGCTTTTTATAACGCAAATAAAACAAAACTGAGAATAATATCAGCAGAACACTGGCTGTTGTTCCAAGAAAAAGTGCAAGATATCCTTTGCTTTCTTTATCTATAAAGTAAAAAGTGTTATTAATTGGGTATTTACGTACATATTGTTAGAAGAAATAACTAACTAAGTCTAAAAAAAATATCATCTTTCTTATGTGAAACAAACAAAATATTGTTGATTAATTTTTGAGAGTTTAAATAAATAATTAGATAAAAAAATTAATATATAATTTCTTAAATACGTATATTAAGAAATATGGGTGACGAGAGGATTAGAATTTGGCTCCATCATAATACGATTATGTTAAGATCATTAGTCATATAATAACTCTCATTTTAATTCTTCGCGCTTCTGAAATTTGTCATTTTAGGGCTTTAGACTACTTTGGCGAATATTTAATTTATTTTAATTAAACCGTTTTGTTGTTTTGATTGTTTAATTGAATTTGTTTGTGCACCCCTTTGAATGTTTAGGATAAAAATTATTATTTCTTAAAACCTGGAAATTTTAAGCCATTTATTTTATTACAAAGAGTCGTAATCGACAATTTATCAACATTATATGCTGTAGAACATTTAAATCCTCTAAAGGCAATATATTAATATGTGATGAATTTGTATTACAATATGATTATGATTATAAATTGTATTAACCACTTCCCCGTCCTTCAAAATTAAAATATTTTCCTCTTTTTTTTTTTTTTTTCCTCTAAAGATAAACGTTTTAGGTCTGAAACTGGCCTTAAAAATGTTTCTTTGTCTCTTTCATCACCTGTGAAGACCTATTTAGAAAACTTCCTATTCTCGCCGTCAAAGATGATGAATATGGTTTTCTTACTCAGAAGAAAAAAATTATTTCGTGTTTCCTAGTTTCTTATCTAAAAATCAACAAAGTAGATCCTGTAAACACACTCTTTCAAATGAGCAGTAGTTTCATTGCAGAGCCAAATAAAAGGGGATAGGAAGTAAATTCCTATTTCCTATCTTTTTCAGTGAATTTTTCTTTGATCCTGATACATTCTCGCTATGGTGAAAGCATGATCACCTCTTTGCTATGTGTCACCTCTTTTTGTTTCCGCGCCCCATCAGCGGCCGAGCGGTGAAGTCGCTGAACACTGGTAGCTCGGTCCGAGGTACGAATCCCTCGAACGGGCTGGCTGCATGGGTGTTTTCGTGGTTTTCTCCATGTGTAATGTGTATACGAGCCAGTTTCCCTTAGAAAGTCCTCCACGAAGGCATCCCTCCCCTTAGGCAGATAGCCCTCGAGGCTTTGCCATAAACACACACACATACACACACTTTTCGTTTCCTCTGCATTCTGCCAGGTTGAAAAACATGCTGTGACGAATCTTTCTAGGGGAAGGGGGAGTCTAGGCCACATTTAACCACGACGAGTGTATGCCGTTGTTAACGCCTTAGCAAAGTTTTCAAATAGACGAGTTTATCTCGGAGGATACGGGGAAATGGTTAACAAAACTTAACAAAATCTTCAAAATGATTTGAGATTTTGCGCGAATGTTCTAAAATAATGAAAAATTATTTGGTGAACAAGAAAATTACAGTTCGAATACTTCCTCTATATAATGCTGAATTCATACTAGTTTAATAAAAGGAAACACTTTTACATATGATATAAGTACATCACAAAATTGTGTAATCTAAGAGGAACTACGGAAGGTGATCCTCTTTAATTATGGAAATACAGGATTGCTCTATGGCAACTACTCTATGATTAAAAGACAGCACTGACCTCATGAAAGGTATTATGTTTGAAAACTCTTGGTGTAGAATGTTGAAGATATTACACTTTTTACAATGCCTTGCAAACGGTTTTCGTAGAAGGATTTCAAATTTGAAATAACTGGCTTTTTGGGTATCAAACCTGTTAGGATACAGAAACTGGTTGACAGTTAGAGAGTAGTAGCAATGATGAAGAAGACAGTAAGACCAGTGCCTGAAGTAATGTAATAATATAAATGGCTATTTACATAACTTTCAGCAGAGTGCGAAAATTTTGAAACACTCCTGCAGTGCTCTTCTGAAAAATATTGTCTATATTCGAAAATGTTTATTCTTGTACAAAAATATGAGTAAAATTTTTATGTTTCAATTTCTTGTTTGATGGAAATCAATTATTGCTAACTATCGAACATTTTGCGGATTGATGGAACAGCTTCCTGTCTGCTACTGTCAACAAGCAAAAGTGGTAAATTCCAGCAACTGAAAATTCATATGCATTACGCAATGTGCTTTTTTCTTCTCCAGCAACCTTTGCATAGTACGCTTTTGCACACATTTGTTAAGGGAAGAGAAGAAGTCGGTCTTGGTAAACTTGGTTAACTATTTTGTTAATGCTTATCCATATGATTTTCTTTAGAAAAATCACATTATGTCAAAACTGCACCAGAGTTATTTTTTGTTAATGATTCGAGCATTTCAGTTATCCTCTACGTCGGTCGCTGTAAGACCTGGAGAAATGGAGGCATAGACATTTTGCCTTTAAAAAACACTGAGCGTTACGGGTTTAGCTTTGAAATTTCAAAGTTCCTCAAAATGTCATGAATAAGTGATATTTTCTTGATTTTAATTAAAAAAGACTCTTCCTTTGTACCTGATCCTTTTCTTCCAAATACATCCAAACGAAATCAGATCATTAAAAGCTAGCAGAAATTTTCATGTATAATGAATGTGGAAGGCAAGCTTCTGTACTGAATTTTCCAGCCTTAACGCTGAGAGGGTTAACAAAACCCCATAGGAAAAAATCACAAAAGTTTAGCTCTTGGGATGTCTGTGGTCAACGAAGGAATGGCATATTGTTTGATCCAACACGGCCAATCCAACAATGGAGTAGATCATCCTTCGATACTGGCGTATGTTTTTATGCAAATGCGGGGGAGCACTGTCTTGCTGCAGAATGAAGCTAGGAATTGCTATCCCCATCTGAGGGAACAACTACTTGTGATTGCATATCTTGGTAAATGTCGCCGTTATTCGATTTTCTCACGAAGAAGAAAGGACCAAAAACTCAACTGCTGGAAATAGGGAGGAAGAATTGCGCCCTTGGAGAATCACGATCATGTTCCATTACACTATAGGGATTTCCCGGGCCCCCAAACCTTAAATTATGGCTATTAACTTTGACAAGAGTGTGAAAAGTGGTTTCATCCATACAGTCTATAGTCCGTCCGAACAAGTCTGTTTGCAAAACCATCTACCTCGAGCTTTTCTTGCAAATTCTCACACAAAGATTTACGCCACGGTTTGTCGGAAGATTTTTAACGCTGCACCATCTGAAAGGTATATAGCCGGAATTGTAGTCGTTTCCGTAACACGTGCAGCACCGTTACATTGTAATTATTTCAGTATGCTTATTGTAATAAGCAATGAAGAAAAGAGGTTCTTTTCAGAAATGCTTCTAATTTGCGCGTGGGAGGAGGGGAATATATTGCGAAAACCATAAAAATTCAGTTTATATCCCTACATTGTTCGGGAAGCCTTCGGGATAAGGCATTAGACATTTTTAGATTGCAACTTGGCAAAAACAAACATATCATTGATGCCATCGAGTGTTTCGGCACAGAGTACTAAGCTTTTTATAATCCACTCCAGTGATACCTGTAACAATCAAATCCAGATGATTTGATTGATACAGGTATCAGAGTGCATCACGTAACAAATTTAAGTTTCGCGGCGCTCAAAGCTTGGGGGTAAATATTACTGAATGATTTGCAACCCATAGCTGGATGGCACCATCAACAGGTGCATTTGCAAAGATACTGGATTATAGCATTACCTAGAATAACTACTTGGAGTAATGTTCACGACAATACTATATTTTCACTGTTAAAAAATTATACAGGGGTTGGGCAATGAAGCTGAAAAACTTTAGAAAGTGTATCCTCTTTACATTAGGCAAGCACATGCATATATATATATATGGTATTGATTGCAATATATATATTTACAGTACCAATATATATATTTGGTACTGTTGATTGCAATAAAAATGGGAGCTCCACAATTAGATGTTATAGCAGTCCCATATACAAAATTCCGACATGCTACAGATAATCTTTTTTGAGTTATGCGAAATATATACTTACGTACGTACGTACGTACAGATATCACGAAAAAAATCCATTTTGAATCCACTTTAAATCCATTTTACAATACGTTTTTGAAAAACGAATGCTTTAATCAGTACGTACGTACAGATGTCAAGCAAAAAGGTAGTCAAAATGCATATTTCCGTTTAACTACAATACCCGAAATTTTTCGGGATTAAAAGATTTTCTTCACATTGTGTGAGGAAGCAAAAAACTGGAAACAAAATAAAATTTGATTTTGAGTTCAAGTTGGAAGGTTTTTCGAATCTTTGTGTAAAATATTTTATTCATTATCTTAGAATTATTCCAGAAATATTAACAATGTCCATTAAACTTATATTAATACAATAGCTATACTCACGACATGTTCGAGTAAGGTAGCTGTAATTTAAATCGGGACTTGGGCATTCACATACGGCTTTCTTTTCGATTCCGTCATAAATGCAGAGAGCCATGTTATCATAACCACAGAAAGATCGATTCTGGCAAGCAGAAATTTGCTCACAAAAGTCACCAGTAGTTCCTGGTAAACATTCACAGAATCCCTTGATACAGAGGCCTCCATTATCACATGTTCCTTCTTGACATGGTACTACAAAATTAAAGTTAAATAAGAGATTCCGGCATGTTATTCTAAGTAATAATAACATTGTTTTACTTATATAAATTTATATCTTTGAGTCTTAGATTACGTGTTACGACTGGCTTTTATCTTGCTGTTGTTAATAAAAGTATAAGAAGGAATGATAAGAGTGAGACCATTTTGATGTAACTTCATTTTTTTATATTCGCAAAAGCAAACATGAAATTTAAATGAATAAGTAAGACACAGGAAGTTAGTAAAAACATTGAAAATTCGCTGAAGCGTTAAATTCTATTGAAGAAATTTACGTTTTAATTTTATACGCAGTTATTTTCGCTAACAGCACATTTTAAGTACTAGTACAGTTACCAGTGAAATCGTAACGATGTTTAAGGTTAATCAAATTAGCAATTTAATTAATACGAGAAAGTTAAAGATGTGCTACAATCTTCTGGAAAATATGGCGAATGTTTTTTTATGGTAGTCCACATAATTTACCAAAACTTTCTCTTTTGTATTTTGTTTCACCAAACAAACTTTAAAACGAATTAAATTTGTTATATTTTACTTAACAGATAGAAATGGCAGTATTTTTTAATCGTTTGCATTAAATTGATAAGTTTATAAGTAATCTAATACTAGAACTTTAGTTTTATAACCCTAACAGACAGGTAGTGAGCGATCACTATATCTGAAATAGTACGACAAAGACTTACGAAGATTTTAAACAAGATTCTATTGAACTGAACTTCTAAAAACAGGGCAAGGCTAGTGCTGCGGGTAACCACTGGTTGTGGCAATACAGATTAAATAAGAACAGTGATACCATTTTAAACACTGATGAGTAGTCTCAGATTGCGCAGCAGCATTGCACAGCACCTTAGCTTATGCTACAAGCTGGCTCAGGTAATTCAACAACACGTAGGTTTAAAAATAGGCTGCAGGAAAACGTAAAGCCGAGAAATTACATTTGGTTATAGCTGGCGGAAATGTAAACGAGCTGTGCGTTTGCAGCAACTCTTTCCCTCAAGATCCAAAAAATTTTGAGTAAATACACTACAAACTAATTTCCATTCTATTGAAAAATACCTTCATCAGAAAACATCAACTTAAAATATACTAAAAACTAATTTACATTCTGATGAAGAATACCTGGATGAAAAATATCTTCATCAGAAACCATCAGCTTATTCACTACAAACTACTTTGCATTCTGATGAAGAATACCTTTATCAGAAAACCTCAATTTACATACAGTATAAACAATTGCATTTTGGTGAAGAAAACTTGGATGAAGAACACCTTCACCAGAAAACTTCAACGTAAATACACTACAAACAAATTTGTATTCTGGTGAAGAATTCTCTTGAAATAGAAGTTAAATTAAAGTTGAAAATCATAGTTAGTTTAACATTAGAACCGCACATTCTTTCCCAACCAGAATTTAAGTAATTGGAACGAAGATCCTTGACGTCCTTGTCTAAGATTTTACATTCTAAACTTAGCACATAAGCCAATCGTTACAATCATCCAGTTAAATGCCTAAATGTAAATTTCTGTTGCTATAAAAGGTGAGATTTTCCATGAACAATTTCATACAATCATTATTTTCATCTTCTTCCAGGAATATGGAAGGAAAAACGGTTTAGCCATTAAATGGAAAAATTTACATTTATCAACTTACCATTCATAATAACACATTCTAAATTCAATTTTCTCAGCTTTGCTCTTCACCAGTGTAATGTGTGAACGTTTGTGTAAATTTGTGCAGAGTTTCAATAACTACCTACTAATCAAAGTCCTACATTGTCTTAGACACACTAGCTTTCAAAAGCACGCTATTTCAAAAACCTATACCTAACTTCTTAGGCTCAAATATCATTAATTCTATAAGTGCTGGCTCAAGAGCCTAACGTTTACTAAGCTCAAGTACAGTATGAAAGCTTTTACGTTGAATTACATATTATCATTTATTAGCTTTTAATTTAAATTTATAATACGAAACACACAAAACAAACTTTCATAAAATAGTTCTTGTAAAATAATTCATAGGAAAAAACATAAATATCTTTAGCATTCTATAATTCAAAAGATTACTCAGTTTGAACTTTATATCACAGGTACATTAGGTTCTAACATTTAGTTTGAAATCGCATCAAAATTTTCTTCGATACAGACTCTTGGACTAAATAATTCTTCAAGACAAATGCCTATGTTAAACCGAAAAATGTTTCTTTGTTGAATAAAACTAGGATGTCCTCGCTTGAGACTCAACTTAAAGTAGCAGCTGTTGCATTACGACATAAAATAAACTAAAATGTATAAAGTAAAGTTTCATTTATCCTTTGTTTATTTGTAAATTTCCCATCCTTTCACGAATAAATTCTTCATAGGACAGACAAGCACCGGTGTGATCTATTCCGATTTTTCTGTTCGACGGATGGGTTCATCTGTTGATCACTAGCGTTTCTATGAACGGTCTCTTAGGCTCATATCACACATACATTTCTTTCATACGAACAACTGTTTCGGACAATTTTTCTGTCTGCTTTACTGAAAGAGAGACGCGCGATTTTTTCCTTTTTTCGAAAAAATTGCAAATTCGTTTTCAGCCAATCAGCTATCAGTTTCGAATGCTAACAGCTTACATTTAATGGAGAACCAGATTTCTCTTTGCATGTTAGCCCCAAGTGATCTGTGATTATTGCCTGTTGTGACAAAGAGTTGTTCTTTCGAAACAAACAGATGAGTGATAGCAGCCTTATACCTATAGGGCGCTGAAGAAATTTTGGCGTAGCTAGCAGTTTCTTTGCCAGCCGATCTGCCGTTGGAGATCTCCTCTGGTTCGTCTTGAATTTCGGCAGTTGAACTGGCTCCTCTTCAAGCGATGGCTTGAAGAGTTTCTGGCTTGGTTGATCAGTTATTCTCCTGTGTTTTCAAGACTACTGCTGACCACTTTCCCGCTTCTTTGCGTTCGTCTAACGTCCAACATTTATGACCTAGCACCTAGCATTCGGTTTGTCACTACATCTCAGGGATACTTGAGCCGTTTTCTTGACCCTTGGATAAATTCCTTGTCCCTTTCATTCTCCCTAACCCCCTATTCTATAGCCTTGCTGTTTGAATCATCAAACTTCAGCTTTTTTCTTCTTTCTCACCATTTCCAGTACTTTTTTTTTCTTTTCGGATCTTAGTATATGGATGTCAACGTTGGATTCGCCGCATTCCTTGGTGAACCCTCATTTCTCAGGACAGGTGATTCTCGCTATGTTTCTTGTAACAGTGACAAATCAGAGCGCTCAAAATGCTGCTTTATTTACATTTGCATTTGAACATTCATCATTTTACATCAATGCATTTCATTTCGGTACTCACTGTTTTCCTCTCTCAATTAGAAAGGGGCCTTCGAATATATTACTTAGCTTCCCAACTTTTTCGTCTGGTGAAAAGAAAGATAATGTTTAGTTTTCGAGACTTTACCTTAAAACTTAAAACGAAATTCCGCTTTTTCTTGTCATAAAAGTATTTTTGTTTCATCCGGGATGTATCCAAAAGAAACAAAAAGAAATTTATCGAGGGGCGTAGTTAACTTTCTTCCAAGTAATAATTCAGCCGGTGTTTTTCCAGCTGTATCATACTTTACGGATCTCATCGCTAATGCCAATTCGGTGATGCAATCATCCTAACACTGGTCATAATTTCTTACATAATTCATAATTTTCTGCTGTGGATAATTTTAAATATGTTTCCGTTCCCCTTTCTACAAATTTTCGATTGTGGCCGATAAGGTACCACCTTAGATTGTCTTATGCCGTCACCTATACTGTCGTAAGCCTATCAATACCTGTAAACATTTCCTCAAACATTTGCCTTACAAATTTTGTTCTGTTATGCGATATTATTTTAACTAGATCTTCACGCGTTGCTATAAATTTATTTAAAAATGCATCTGCAATAATTTTAGTACTTTTGCAGTATTTTTTCCAGAATGCAAGCGCACAGTGGCGCAATGTCTGTATTCACAATAACTTGCTCTTTACCATAATAAACTGAAATTTTCGTACCACCAATTTGCCTGATAAATTTCTTTCTCGGTAGCTTTATCACTTCTCGAAGTTCAATCAAGTGTTTTGCTAAAATATGCAACTGGCAATTGGTTTGGCGCGGCTCCTACCTCGAAATTCGATACATCTGAGGCGATTCATTATTGACTATCTAAGAGTAGAAAGCTCAAAGATGAGACCAATTTCTTGGCCGTGTTAGATGGGAGATAATTTTTTATCGCTATAGTTTTAAAATCTACGCCAGCCCAGGTATTTAAGTTATTTAGCTGAGATTTTACAATTTGTCACATTCACTTTTAAACCTGCTTCTTTTGGAAGCGAAAAAAAGAACTGCTGATTCTGAATTATAGGTACAATTGCATCATAAATAAAAGGTAAAACTATAGCTTGCCTGCTCTGGCATCTCGCACTCACATATATACATATAACGATAATAATTCAAGACTAACCCTTAATATATAAATTTGAAGAATGATTTTCTGTTACAACTCATACTGATTTTGAAAAACTTAATCATGGCACAAAAATACGGGAAATAAAATTAATGATGAAAGTATAATCACTTTAATAGGGACAACAAAAACTAAAACTTACAACAAATAAAATTTAAAATTAGGAACAGAGACTATTGTGTATCAGTTTAATATTTATCACAGGAAATTTCACGAATATAAATCTGTGTTATTTACATTCAAGTAAAAATCTGATATCATTCTGAATAGAAATTTGAAATAAGAAACTTACCTCTGCAAATTTTTTCCTTGTAATCAAATTTTTTATATGACTTCGAGCACTGGCACATCCCTTTTGCTTGAATTCTGTCATATATACATGTAGAATCATTGCTTGTACCACAAAACTCTTCTTGCTTGCAGTCCGTTACATCGGAGCAAAAGGAGCCAGTTGTGCCCGGTAAGCAATTACAAAAGTTATTGGACTCCTCACATTGCCCGCCGTTTTGGCACGATCTTTGAGGATCAAATCGACTACATGGCACTGAAAATATTCCAAAATTACTACAGTGCCACTGACTATATGGCATTGAAAATATTCCATAAAATTACTACATGACACTGAAAATATTCCAAAGTTTCAGTGCCACTGACTATATGGCATTGAAAATATTCGAATACGTGCGTTGCTTGGAATGGGAATAACAGAATTATTGGAATCGGAATAACAGAATTATTGGAATTTGAACAACAGAATTATTGGAATGGGAACAACAGAATTATTGGAATGGGAATAACAGAATTATTGGAATGGGAATAAGAGAATTATTGGAATGGGAATAAGAGAACTATTGGAATGGGAATAACAGATGGAAATAAATACACAGTTTAATGCTGAATAATTTTTGCTGTGAATGCCGTATCATCCTCAGCAAAACATGCAAAATTTACATGGCTGTTGGAAACCCCTGCTACTAAAGGAATAACTGTAGGCCGTTACATATTACAGACTGACATATTGCTCTGGCACAGTGGTCTCATTTCGATACAGAGATCATAGATGACATGCCGTGAATCTTTCTACACTTTCTTTCTGGATAATGTTACATCCGTCTCTTGCACATTCGTTTGGGACAACATTGTCCAATGATGTGATGTGGGGCGCATCGTGCCCCTCCTTGAAAGACCCCATGGCCGTTTCACAGGCTGCTCCAAAGCAAACCAGAAACAACAGCAGCCAACAGCCCAGGGACAATAGGTATTGCGTTTCAGATTCAAAGATAGGAAAACTCAGAACCCTATTAAGAATTATTGACTTTGCCTTGAGTGGTGCTGCTCCGCTAAGGTACAGAAGAGTTCAATTGCTTTTGTTAAGGTTAAATAGTTTTACATAAGGAAACAAGGGCAAAGAAGATAGTAGTGTTTCACAAAATTCTAAGATTCATAGCTTCCATTCAGAAAATCTCATATATATACATGTTACGAATATCTGCCACTACAAATGCTTAATACATTTTCTTAACGGATCAATGTCTTTAACTTAGTGATAAGAAGATAACATTTATAGTTTAAAACTTTTAGAAAAAATTTAAAGAATTCAACATACACCAAGTCAGTTCCACGAATATCATTATAATCACTCACTGCCAGTAAAGTGAAAATAATATAAAAATTCAAATATCATCTCTTTTACCATAAGAATTTTTAAAAACATTATGTATAAAAATACTTAGTATGCTTTAAACTTGAATTACTATTATCTATTTATACCATTGAATTGAAATATTACTTCCATTTCTTAAACACTTTTCCTAGAAAGACTTTGAGACGACTGCATAATCATATGCAAACAAACTTGAAGTAAATGTTCTTGTATATTTATTAATCAGACCAAAGATAAACTGTATGTGTAAAATAATTGCAGCGCCAGTTCAGTATTCATATGTCTGCAGATGGATAGTTATCATATTTACGGATAATTATTCCTATTTAGAACAGTTATCTCTGTTTACGTATGCAACTAAAATGCGAAGAAAAATATATCTGTATTTGCATTTAAAGAAAGGATTAAGTTTCTGTCTTTTGAAATAAACTAAACCGTTTTGATTGAGTTGATGCTAATAATATCTAATATTTAATTAATTTATTTTTTAATTAATTGTATATTAGAAATTACCAATTATTTATTAACTTTGAGAAACTGACTGCTCATCTTACACTTATTTTTGGAAAGGCTCTTTCTCCATAAAGAATCATTAATTAAGACTGCTAAGCCCCCATCACGAAGAGAAATTAAGCTTCACTTCGCTTGTATCTGTGTAAGACCGGTTTCTCATTACTAGGTCTTCCGCACAGAGATACATACTGAAACACAGGGTGCCTATTTTCGAAGTGATCGAAGTAACATTGAGCAAGGCATTAAATACCTAGCGAAAGATTCAATCCGACAGTAGAGACAAAAAATATTTTAAACAAAGTTATAAGGTATTCTCCCACTTCACTAGCGTGCCTTCGTGGTGTAACGGTACCACACTGGGCCGGTATTTTAGATGTTCGTGGTTCGATTCCCGGCGAATGCGGTTGCATATTTTTCATCTTTTCTGCTTCCAATTAACCTAATGACTCTACAGGGTGTGAAAGATTTCAGATTTTTATATTTCACCCAAATGGATGTTTTTGTCATTTATGCACACATACATGTTTCGAGAGCATTTGGACTAACCCCCCTTCGGGCTAAAAATATTTATAAACAGCATATCTTTAGAATTGCCGATAGATATTCACACGTTGAGATAAAAATGTTTTATTCCCTACAATATTGCTACTGCTCGCTTTGAAGTCGTTAAGGTTTTTAATTAAAAAATTATTAAAGTTTTACAAAATATGAAAGCTACAATAAACAAATCTGAAATAAAGATTCGGGCTTCCTTGTTTATTATTATTGTATATTCGGGTGGAGGACTTCGTTATTCAAAATTTGGTACCTCTAGGTATCGTTGGTTTATAAAAAAACATATATTCATTCATGCAGCTTCATTATTTAATTTCGTTAAAACACTCAAAATCATACTAGAGCTCAGTTAACGTATTCTACGAATTTACTTATTATTTAACGAATTGCTTGTGACTTTGCCAAGTTCAAGTAAATTCAAGTAGTTCAAGAGTCATAATACTATTCTGAAGCAAGATACTTGAGCAATGTGCTCGCTGGGACTCGAACCTGGACCTCTCGAATACGCGCCGAGTGCGCGTGCTACCATTAAACCACGAACACTCCGAAGGAAGAAGGGAGAAAATACCTAACCTTTTCTAAATACTTTTAACTAACTGCTTATTGTTCCAATTTTATTTTACATTTTTTCATGCTTTCATAATTTCATATTACAATCATATGAAATAAAATATGTTTAATAAGTACCCCACGTATTTAAAAACTGTACTCCAAAAATAGGCTTAACAAACAAAATAATTCACTGTGAAAGCAGATTTCATGACCAACTGAAATGCGCAATACAGTTTTAATTTGCGAGTTTAATTATAATTATAAACTCATGACTGACATTTCAGATAATTATGCATGTGTTAAGGTGCAGGATTAAAGTTCTTCTTGTAACTAGTGTGTTAAGTGTAATTTATATGTTAGAGTTATAACTAAAAATATAATAATAATATTTCCTCAACTTCATTCTTATCCGGTTTAAAAATGACAGATCTTTAGATATTTATTTTTACTTCCTTGTACGAAGTAAAAAGGAAGTATCGTAATCGCGAAAAGTTTCAGGCAGCATATTTCAACGAAAATATCCATTTTGACCGCTATCGAATGAAATTTAACGAAGTTTTTGCGTGATATCTGTACGTAAGGACAGAACAAAATACTATTTTCCTTCAAAAAAATTATATAACTGCTTTAAAATTAATTCTGAAGAGAATTTTTCGTGGCGTCTGTACGAACGTGCGTGCGTACGTACGTATCTCGCATAACTCAAAAACGAGTAGCCTCGGAACGTTGAAATTTTGTATATAGGACTGTTATAACATGTAGATGTGCACCTCGTATTTTGGTTGCAATCAGCCACACCAAACGTATATATATATATATATATATATACCCACTGTTTACAGTGATCTCAGTTTCTTTACTCTTATATGTTTGTAAATTGTACATTTTTTGCTTTAAAAAATGATTGAATTATGTTGTTTTTATCTTCCGGTTAAGAATTTTATGCCTTTAGTAAATCTGTGTGCTATATTTTTAGAATTATCAGCAATTTTAAAGTTGTTTAAGTGCCGCTAAGCCTGTTTTTTAATGGCGGCCATTGATTTTACGTTTGAAACAGGAGACTAGTGGATTTGTTGCCAATCTAGAGAAACTTAGCTTCGCAACAACAAAGATAACGCATTCATTTATTTTGCCAATTAAATCATGCTTAATCTTTCTGGAATTTTTTCGAGGAAATAAGTGTTTGAGATTTATTTCGTAATTTTTAATATAGATATTTTGAGTTTTTATGTATTTTTGCCTTCTCGCGAAGTGAGAACTGAATTAATTAAAATGAGAAATACTCAATCGTCTGTGAAAAACTGTTTCTTTTTTTTGTTTTGTTCGCTTAATTTCTTTATACATACTTTCTAGCTTTATTATAGTATTTGAATAGAACATGTGGCAACGATTAGATAATTCTTTAAATGATATATACATTTTGTGCATTCTGAGTTATAATATGAATGAAATATAATACTGTTAAATAAACTAGCGCCAGAGTGTCGCTATGGTAAACAAAGTGAATTTTAAAGAATGCATTTATTCTATTGTGGTTTTATGCGCTGTCGGCGAAGTAGGTTTAATTCAATCTAATAAGTTTAAATAAAATGCAAGAAAAAATGCGTGTAATTTAATATTCCGTACAAGGAAGTCATGTGGTGCACACATCAGATTTTTTAATAATCGTAATGCACGGGTTTAAATGGTCAGCATAAAATATGCTATTTTATTGTAGTAGGAAACTACAGAATATATTCCGTTCAGATAAAATCTTATACATTTATAGTCATACTTTTTATATTTAATTTGCGAATTAAGTTTCGTAATGAAAGAAAGAATTAAAACAGGAAATTTACCTCTGCACGTTTTCTTGTTGACATCAAATATTTCAGACTTGTTATAGCACTCACATCTAGGACTTTCGTACCAGCCTTCGTATGTGCAATACGCTGAATTGTCTGTACCGCAATCAGAATCATTACATGCGGTAAGCTTGGAACAGCATTCTCCTTCGTATAACGGACGACACAAACAATTTCTTACGTTATTTATTAAAATGCACATGCTCCTGTGTTGGCACGTCGACTCTGGACAGGGCGCTTTGTCAAATAAAAATAATACAAAAAATTAATATATAAACGAATATTATCATACATTCCGTTACAAACAGAGGTAATATTTTCATGATCTAGATTTATGAACAAGCTCTTGCTACACTTTTATAGTGTTTCTTTTTATATCTGTATCTCACACAAAAACACTACAATAGCATTGCGGATAGTTACTCTGTTCATTTTATTGTACAGAGTTATAATTTTATTGTAA